ATTTCGCGAATATGCGGATCGACTCTTGAGTATATTCTTGTAGAGGAAATCAAGTAGATCATTTCTAGAAAAAACCCGAACTCAATAGTCAAACACTTTTGGGAGAAAAAAAGCCGCGAAAAAATGCGCAATAATTATGCATCAACCTAATACAACTACTCGAAAATGTTATTCCTTCAGGAGAAATTGTTTCAAGTAAAATCTTTGTTGAACACAGATCCCTTTACCCTTCTTGCAGCACTTACAACTATGTACCCTGCGTCCACTAATCATACCGTCATCCATGAATTTCCCCAAACAGTCACGTTCCAAAGCACTTCAGGAAAAGGCTTAGTATGGAAATTGTGCCCTTCTCGGGCCGTAATTAGTAGGCCAACAACCAGTGTCATCTCAATAATATGGACAATTTGTCCTTAATTTTTTCGTGAGGGATCACTTTGCCCATGTTGCCAAGTGATACAGCCACCGACAAATCAATTTATTCAGCAGCTAAATGATAACAAAGAGTGGACGTTGCGTGATTATTAACTAATTGAGCACCCAATCCTTCAACCTCGCAGATTCGATTGTCCAATAAGAAGGAAAGACTGTCAATGAGTTCGTGATCAACTTGGTGGCCCAAGTGTCGACGATTGCTTTCCTCAGCTCATTACCACCTACAAACTGCTTTTTTTTCTTCATGAATCTCCCTTATCATGAATCCTCATATGTTTTCCATTAGATTCAAGTCAGGGCTGTTAGCCAACCAGCATAAAAGGTCGGTTTGGTGCCGACCAAGCCCGAGCTGACGTGATTCCGGGCATTACCCTGCATGAACACGGGGTTCTACTGCCGATTCTGGCGCCAGAAAGGAAGAAAAGTATGGCTTGGTACTAATCGATAACTAGAACAGTTGATCTCATTCGGAACAAAACATAAATGATGACGTCTACGAGAAGAAATGGTCGCCCATGTCATGACTCCTCTTTCCTAAGAATTTCGTCCGAATAACTGGAGCTTATCCTTTCGCAGACTGTGCCAATGGAATTGGTTGCCACCACAGGTAAATTTTTTTTCATGGGGAAAAACAACCTGTAGAACGAATCATCAAGAGAAATAAGAGTAAACGACAAGCCATGAAAAGGCACCTGCCGGTTCGGATGCAATTCCTGGTGAAGAAACTAGAATATTGCAATGCTTTTCGGTTATGAAGATGCCATTCTTACTTTCTGCTCAACGTGAAACTCAGACTTATGTACTTATCACGTTCCAAACAGCAATCCTCGAGACAGTGAGCGTCAAAGAGGACTTTATATCCGTATATGACGCTTCTTTCAAAATTAGTCGCTTGCCTTTTTCCAAAAGTAATGAAGAACGTCCCGTAATCTTTTCGGTCCCATACTCTGTAGGATTTCTGACGCAATTTCCGACAATGGCGTGGCATTGGCCGTTTCGTTTGAGCGTTTCGACGATTTAGCAATCCCTGCACCCTTTTTATGCGAATTTGACTTTTCTCGAAATCGGATGGCAACTTTCCTTCACCCATTACCTCAATTTAGAAATATTACACAAAGAAGCAATTAGGTAAGGTGTTAATGGGACGCAACGGAAAAATATGAAGTGTTTGTATCATTTGGCAACATAGGCAAAGCGACTTTCCGAAAAAATGAGTGAAAATTGTTTATGTTATTGAGGTGGAACTCGTTGTCGCCCCACAAGTTACGGTCCGAGTAAGGCACAATTTCCACATCAAGCCTTTTCCTGAAGTGCCTTGGAACGTGAGTTTTGAGAGAAATTCATGGGTGGCTGTATCATTAGCGGACGCAGTGTATATGAAGGATGTTCGAAAAAGATATCGTTGAGAGAACTGATAATATGAGCTGAGTATGACACATCAATTTCAGAAGTCACAATGTCAATTCATTGATTAACAAGTGGGCAATTAAGATCAACATAGAAGCGAACTACTATCACTTTGGGTAGATATGACGTGAATGCGGAACTCACCCACAACGATTCGAAACGTCAGTGATATCACTTTCAGATCAAGACTGCGGTGATAAAGCAATCGTAAAAAGTAAATCAGATCATATTTTTCACTGCATTAGGACAAGGAAATACGGAACTGATTAAGTCTTACGTCAACAGAGGTCAACATAACGATGAGGGGGTAGGAGATTGAAGGGTGTGCTTAACCAAGTGCACTGAACAATAAATCCGGAATGTGCATAACGTTCATTTGACGCAAGTTCAATTACCAGTGAAAGTGGAAAAAATCGCCAGGAAGAGGAGTGTTTTTATACCGGAGACGAAAAAAATTAGAGAAAATGACGTCATGCAAAAGGTAACCGCTGCAAATGCAGATGGAAATAAAATACGGTAGTGTCTGAAAAAAGATTTTCGATGAAGATAGAGCGAGAAAAAGAAATTTTCACTCAAATTATGTGGAAATCATCTTATTCCCAGGATTATAGGGTTGCAAAACAGTACAACCTTTGCATGAGTTCGATCGCAATGTCTGCATCATGGATCGTAAAGAGCCGTTACCGAAGGGTTCGAACGAACATGAACAATCTTTGACACAGAATGATTTGTGTGTATGACTGCTCGTGTCATGAAACTCGACGTTACATGCTTCTTGTAGGCGGTATCACCTCGATTTCAGTTCAAGACATTGCTAGGGCCAGGGTTGGCTGAAATAGCGTTAATCTAATAGTATCGTGTGCTCACTCTGTTGTTATTTTTCTCTACATAGCCACTATCCACAATTCACTTGCCGATCATGACGGGAGCCCAGGGTGCAGGTCAACAAGTGGCTTGATCTTTATGACTCCTAACTTCGGCCTGGGTCTTACGCCTGNGATTCGTATTTAGATCAAAGAGATAACTACTTGGCCCGCCTCGGAATAACCTCGGTTAGTTGCCTTGCCTAGGCTTACCTGCACTAGTCTGCTCTTCTGCTCTCGCCTTATTTCATATAGTGTGATGGCTCTATCATAGCATCCTACACACCTTTTGATAACAAGGTGTGGTTGCTCATGTGTGGCTTAAAGTTTAATTGTGAGCTCTCCGGGATCCACTATTCTTGGGGCATGAATTGGCACTTCTGGCTCAAGGTGTTTTTTCTCGAATGATTTCTCCATAGTTCGGGCATTGGCGTTGTAAGTGTATCTGCGGAGGCTTTTATTGTCACATTCATTTCCTCTTCAATGCTATTGCTCCCTAACTTTTTTATATCCACTTGATAATTGAATGTTTCTTTTTCTCAATCTGTATTAGTAGTTTCTGTTCTTTGACGCACGCATGTGCAATAAATAAATAAATAAATAGATAAATAAATAGAGGAGCAAGGAGTGTCGAAACGGTAGTGGATGAGTCGGAGACTCAGCTACGCGTGAAGTGTAGCAAAAAAGGCAGTGGGGACGATGACAAGTACATCAGACGTTTCGGAAGATGTCGGAAGCAAGAAGTTGAAAATAGGCGAAACGCGTATATTAATTGGATGGAGTTTGTGCAAAGAGTAAGCAACACGGCACAAGCAATCCTGGAGACCAAATAAAGCCGATACAGAACGAACAATTTTTGATTCAGAGGCATAGTTTATAATTTTGGGGCATCTAGTTCAAGATGAATAATGGAAAATGGTGCAGATGAGGCAAAAATTGGAAAGAAAACGCAGAAATCGGCGTATGTAAAGATATGTAAGGCTTCGAAAAAGGAGAAAATTAGGGGTTTGACGAAAATGTGAAGACAAAAGCCGCATGCAAAGGACATTCGGACGAGCTGTCATAGGTCCATCCAAGGGGAGGGGATCACGGGTTCATCCAAAGAGAAAATTTCAGGGATCACTTTAAATGTGAACTGATGAACTTGAATGATGGACTTTAATGACTCCATTCGATATCGACTGTGAACATAGATTTTTTCAAGTATTTTAAAGCGAATAATGGTGCATGGAGTAACTACCATCACGGAAATTAAAATTCCAGTGCAGAGGTGCTATACACTCTGTATAGCGTACTAACCCGAACCGGGAGGAAATAAACTTTTTGACCTTGGCCCTTTAATCTTCAGAGGTTTTCATTATTATACTCCTGATCAAAAGTTACGGAAAATCTGCAATTACAGTAACAGTTCCTTATAAATCGACTCTAGGAATTTCGCGAGTATGATTTTCTAGAGGTTATCGAAATCTAATCCTTCATATAAAGGATCACAACCATTCCACAAGTGCGCTATGCATTCGCTTTCTATTAAAACTGGCAAAGTTCTTCAATTCATCGCGGCCTTTCACAATGCCTTATGGTGTTACCCAGACTGCGCTTCGGAGTCGTAATCCCACAGGTATAGCTGTGAAAGGATAAAACAATTGGCAGAGAATAAAACAGAAAGATTAGCTGCAGAGTAAGAGAAATCCTGAGAGAAACGATCTTCGTCTAATATAAATAGTTCGCATTCGATCACCATGTTTGATTCAAAGGCGAAGAAGCCTAAATGAATTGATCCAACTCAAGATCCTGACACATTTTGGTTGGGGGAACTATACCTAAAACACCTCTTCTAGACTGATCACCAATCGATATATTGATCGATGGAGTGGGAGTCCGTGGAAAGTCTTTTTTTAAGATGTTGTTCATAAAGATAACTCTTCAGATGAAAAGTCAAACGAGAAGAATGAGATCGCCATTAAATAAATACTGAGAAGTTATTTGCACAATTTTCTCGGAAAAAGCAGGACATGACCGTCGAAAAGCATTTGTAAAATGGGAGATGAGAAGATCTGAAACACTTTGAATTAGCTACCTACACTTCTCTGCAGTTTTTGAATCTTTTTCATATTACCCCTAACCATATGCGTATGTCCTCCGACAGACATCGACGGTGACATACAATGTCGCCATCACATAGCGGCGGGAGACGGGCGCTAGGAACGATTTTGGGTAATCGATTCGCCGCACGCGGCTGTAGCGGACCACTCATTTGCCGTTATTACAGCTCAACCGTTCTTCATACAGCTAAATCGATATGCAATCATTACTTCATGCATAATTCTACTATTAGTTCTTTTGTTTTTGTATTTCTTACCTACTGCTGCATCCTGCTACATTCCTTCGCGCGCGACGCCCCTTTCACCGCGACGCGACCATTTCGTTCCTAATGCACCACACTCCATAGCGGTACAGGCACAAACGAGTGAAAACGAGTCGAACTTTGTTCAACACATTTGCGACGTTTGTTAAGGTTCAACTCGAAAACACGTCTAAGCGATAGCCGATGGTAGGTGTGATGATAGCGCAGCCACTAGAGGCGCCGAACAGCACCTAAAGGTCCCACAAGATCGACTCCGGTCCAGGTTGCCTGCAAGAAATTTTCTATGTGAACCGGTTTGCGTTTTCTAAATGGTCAGAGGTTGGGAAATAATGTCTTGAGCCATGACTGTTTTGAACAAAAAGACTAGGATCTAAGATACTTGCGGAATCCAACAGTTCTATTGACACTCACTTCCTAACTGTAATTTACGCCCCTTTGAATTTTCCTTGTGAATTGAAACAGCGATTGGACGCATAGTTCCTTCGGCGGCTTCGTCTTTTCAGGCTCCGAAAAAGACGAAAGCTTCGAAAGGTTAGCCGAATAAAGATTCGTCAAAAATCTCGGCCGTAGAACTTGAGGGGTAAAAAGAACGACTGGAGAAAAGAGCCGAAATTCATTGAGAGTCGAACTCGAGCGTTGAATTCTGGAAGCATTGCCAACCTCGAATTCTGATCTTCCTGAATAAACAGAGGCAAAAAATAAAACAAAGTCCATGACGGCTGGAAAAATAAAGCTTGCTTTCAGACCAAGCTGTCAGCCTCTAAACAAGACAATGTAAAGGTGTTAAAGCGAATAGAGACAGCTTTTCAACAACTATTGATGCGAACGACGCTCTTTTATATAGCTACTCAGAAGGAAATGAATGAATATGACAAGCTCGTTAAAGGTAATAAGTGCAACTTCCTGCGTGTGGGTGGAGTCAAGTCAATTAATCATGAAGTTTTGAAGTAATAGTCTTCATCTAATTACGTATGTTCTCTAATTCTTTTAGGGAAACAATGCCTTTAATAATTTATGAAGACTGCTCTGTGAACGTTCAATGAACACCCACATTTCCGATAAAAACGTACTACGCGCTTGAAAGCTTACTCAAAAATAGGCCGATCTACTTGTTTTCCACGTACAAATGAACCCCCACAGGACAATTCTCAAGGGAACACTGATGGTGCTGGTAAAAACAAATTACGGACCTACCAAAAAAGGAAGATCCATACGTTGGAAGTTCATAGTGGCGTCAAACATCTATTAGATTAGTTCTAATCTGACCGCACAAAGTTACTTCCTTGGCGATGTCACTCATATATGGATA